AAAAAAACGCAAAAAAAAGATAGTTTGGAAGACCAGGAAAGGAGCACAAGAAGTTGAGCAGCACCTGATTTTGGGAAAAAAACGCACAGGTGTATGGGAGATAGAGAGATAAGCTACCCTCGACAAGGAGGCTCGCCGCAAATGCCAAATTGTGAATGTATGAGGACCAAGCCGTCGTCCAGATGTATTCAAAACGTTGGCGTTTGATGAGTGGTGCCATAAGCCCCAAGGGAAAAAAAACAAGCGAGGGGTAAAAAAGCAGGAGAAGCCTAAAAGGAGTCGGAGAAGATTATGGAAACAAAGGAAACTCTGGGGCTGTAAGAAATCCACGCTGCAGAAAAACACGCTGGCCGTTTAAAGTTAAACTGGAAAACGGCACAAAAGAAACATCCCATTGTACTTGATTTAAGACAATTCCAAAAGCAAGGCTCACTAGATTTCCACCCCAGCCATTGATATTTCAAGTTTGATTTTTAATTTTTGTTTTTTACATTGTCATTTCGACCCACCTGCCAGATAGAAGATATTTTTAAACAAAACTCAGTGTGAGTGCAATTTCTGCATTCCTCCATTGCTAATGCTTCTTACAGATCGCTGCACCGCCTGCTCCAAACAATACTCCAAATCCACGTACCTCTCGGGTGTTGGTTCTCCGTTAAATCTGTAGCCCTTTCCCCTTTACACCGGTCCTGATGTTTATTACATCTTTAAACCACCAATACTTGGAGGCTTCCTTCTGCTACTGCAAAGTGGCCCCTCCCTCCTCTCTCCCCCAAAAAAACGAAACAGCGCCAGGCATTTTGCTCCAGTATGCCGGGCCCCGAAAGTCGCTGCATGTGCACGGCCACGTCCGTGGGAAATTGGCCACATATATCGATTTCATAATTCACATCCACGGAGCTGAAATTGACTCATTGCAAACACCCAAAAGGTCAAACCACCAGTAAAACTTTCCCCGTTTGAAAAAAAAAATACCGTGGTGGTTAACGTAGATGTTCAGCGGGGATTCGAAATGGCTCCCCCGGTGTCGGTTCGCTTTTCAACTTATTCTCTGGCGCGCAGGGTGAATTGAGGTCGGCAGCCGAGACATGGGAAAGGTACTGGCGGTTCAATCAAGCTTTACTATGCAGAGCCAACATCAGCCGCGGTGTCAGTGGCAAGGAAAACTGTTGACGTCCACCAAAAGAGTGAAATTAACTCATCGTGACCCCAAAAGGTACTGACCCTCCAGTGGTCAGTATGACCCCAAGATGTACTTGCTGACCCGCAAAAGGTCGGTAGACTCAGTACCTTTTGGGGTCATGATGAGTCAATTTGAGTCCAGTGGATGTCGACAGTATCTTCCCACTTACATCTCTGCCGATGTTGGTTCCGCATCTTAAGTTGGATTGGCCTTTCGGTGTTACGAATTTCAACTTCAGTTGTGCTGATGTGAAATCAATACCTTGCCACCGACACCTGTGCTGATCTCGGATCAACGTAAAAGCGTGATTGATCTCCTTCTGGGCCCACAACGAGTCCACTTCAGCTGTGTAAATGTGAAATCAATGCCTCGCTACTTCATGGCTGTCCTGATGAGCCCCCTGATGCGACCCCTCTGTAATGGAGGGTGGATTTGACATCAGCTCAGCCGTCAGCCCAAGAGGAACTCGCATCAAGAATTCTCTTGTACAGCTCAGCTGGAAACTTCTTCCTGCGCCGCTCCTCCGGTGGGCGCTTAGCTGCAAGAACCAACGAACGCCATTTATCCTGCACACACTCCCCAGCCAGTGCACAACCACATGGAACGAAGAGAAAATAGAACACGCACCATGAATGGTCGCAGAGATAAAGTGTGGGTCTGAATTTAGTATGAAACTGGGGTTTAACAAAGCAGAACAGAAGCAGCTGGCCACAAAGTATGATAGCTGAAGAGGCTGAGGCCTCTTTGGAATTGCCTCATTACTGAAAAGCCTCAAGAATAGCCGACAGCTAGAGTAGCTGAGAGGAGTATAGAAGGTCACAGTTAGGGTACACATAAAAATAGAAAGGTTGAAGAGATTTTGTGGCGAGCAGTTGGTCGTAAGCTGAAGTGGGTAATGCTCCCAGGATAACCCCGGGTCGAATTGTGAGGTCCCCGGCCTCAAACACCATTCGGAAATTCGGAATATAACAAAGGCTTTGTTTAAAAAAAAAAAAAAAAAAAAGGACATGGAATTTGAGGGAGATTACCAAAAAAAAATAAAAGCCCAGCACCAGCCCAGAAACCCCCCTCATTACCATACCAACAGATAGTGGAAACTGAGATCCACTCCCTCTGCAATGGAGTACAAAAACAACTTCAGAATGTTCAGGATATCCCAGACCAATAAAAACAGGAAATCATCAGAAAATTCACTAGCCTGAAGCTAGGCAATGGACACAATAGAGGGCGAAAGGATCGTCCTCAAGGACTGGCTAATACTACCAGCACGTCCAGCACCTAGGCTACCAGAGTGGCCCGGGACCAATTGCCCGGCTGGGCCAAAAAACAATTAAAAATAAAAAGAGAAAAAAATAAAAATTATGTTTTTAACTTTTTATTAAGTTTTATTTTATTTTTATTATTTTTTTAAATTTTTTATGTTCAAGTTTGGTAAGGAATTTCGATGTGACCCTGAGGCAAAGTTGTTCAGTTTATTTTTCTGCATAACATTCTTAACATAGTTTTTTTTTGGATTTCTCGTTTTTTTTTTTGTTTTTTTTTTTTTTTGCTGGGACCTCCCCTGATCGTTGCACGGCCGGGCCACCCGGGAAAACAGGGTGCACCTGGCGGCCCGGATGTCAGCCTAGACCAGCACAACATATTCATAACCTAATTACATTCCCACTAGGAGCTTGGCCACACAACCTAAACTGCTTCGGAACTATTTGAATCAGAAGACGGAGCAGAAGCAACATTCTGAACCCAGGTCCCATAACTAATTATATTCCCAGTCGCTTCCTCCCATTGGGAGACAACCTTAACCGCTTCGGAACTAACTGAATCAGAAGACGGAGCAGAGGCAACATTCTGAACCCAGGTCCCATAACTGATTACATTCCCAGTCGCTTCCTCTCATTGTGAGACTAACGCTGCCTAGATCACCGTTAACCCCTAAACCCTAAACAACTTAATCTCCTGTCCTAAACACCACATGCGATTCTGTCCCCAAAATGGACCGAAGCTACGGCGGAGCACCCATTTCAGGCATCGTTTTTCCTAAGTTGCCAAGCCAGCCCTATCCCCACAGCCTTCTTCAAAATGGCGGCAATCTCCTGTCCTAAAAACCACATGCGATTCTATCCCCAAAATGGACCGGAGCACCCCAAAACCCAAGCAAGGCGTGAGACGAGCAGAGGATTGGTTCAAAACTCCAAAGCCAAGTGAATGATGTAGACAAGGATTCTAAAGACTAAGAGGGAACGGAAGGAAATGATGGTGAAAGGAAATGGAGGTAGAAGAACACCGTGGGTGAAAAAACTCGCGCTCGCGCCACCGGTAAGCGCAACGCAGCGCTAATTTTCGTGCCATGTCGCCACGCGGGGCAACGCCACGAGCGGTCGCCCGGCTGCCTGCGCACGTGCGCGGGGAGCTGTGCCACGTGGTCGGTTGCGCTGTCTAGCGCATAGGCGGGCGTAGATTAGCTGCTCTTGAAGATCGCTCTGAAGTCGCTATCCAGCCGTCCATTATATCGAATATACGGCTGGATATGCTTGGTTGGGATATGTTTGGGAGATAGTCTCCTCTACAGGTGCTACCTACATATGCACGCCACGTATGTTACTCTGGAGAATTCGGGTCCTGTAGCTGCACTTGAGGGTGGAAGCTAGATTCAGCCCGAATCTGGCCGCCACCACGGTCAGAATCTGCCCGCTCCTAGGGAGAAAGATAGTCACGACTACGGGAGCGAAAGGGAGCTAAGGAGGGAGAGACAAGGCGACAAACGAAGACCTGCAAGGACGCCAAGGCAGAAAGCGACAAACAATCCTCTGGAGATATCAAAGAGGAACAGTAGGGGGATACTATCCAGCCGCTCGTTGGGAACGGTGGGATAGAGCCCACAGAATCTGGATTCCTCTACGAGGAAGGCGAGGGGAGGAAGTAAGAGAGGAAGCAAAAAAGAAAGACTCCGTGACAACTACACAGAAAGGGGAAAGGCCCTAAAAAGGAAAGTAAACTTCGGGCCTTCATTTTTGGGAATCTCACCGAAGAGGAACAAGGAGGAACGATATACCTGGAAAGAGTACGCCCCTCTTTTGTCGAAGGACGGGCGCGTCAGATTCAACAGATTCAACAAGGGCTGATCTCGACAAGGGCTGATCTCGACAAGGGCGGATCTCGACAAGGGCGGATCTCGACGAGGTCGGGTACTACGTGTAGTAAGGGTGAAAGAAATTGCAATAGCGGCCAAGAAAAGACAAGCTGGATTCGTCTGTCAAGTGAGACAAATCGAAAAGGATTCTAACCTTCTACTGACCTTCCTACTGCCCTACTTCACACACGAATCTCTACCTACTATCTTTTTCCATAACCTATCTGACTTCACGTCTCCCCTTTCCCTACGTCTCCCCCATATCTATCTAGTGATTTCCCTCTCTAACGACATTCTATCTACTATCTTATTCTACGCCCCATCGGACAACACGCCCCTCACATAGCCACGTAGAGTGAGAAAAAAAAAAAAAAAAAAAAAAAAACCCTTTGGCCGACGACCTTGCCCCCCCCCCCCCCCCCCCCCCCCCAACCGAATCATCTTCCAAAATCTGAGCCTTCGCTTACCCCTGGCCAAAATCCCACCAAAATCCCACCTCTCCTTACTCCCGTCCATACGACTAACTCTACCCTCCCCGGTCCGACCCTCCCCTTTTACTTCTCTCAGTAATCTACATCCACCCTTCAACGGAATCTCATCTGGAACAAGCAAAGCCAACCCCTCCATAACGCCAGCCGATTAAAGAAGCCCACTGTTTCCACCACCGAGTCTGCTATCATGGCCAGCCCTACAGGTGGCCGCGAAGCGGCCTCTTTCAAACAAGCCGTGCAGAATGTCACCTACACACACCGCAATCAACAAGTGGAGAAGACAACGCCGAACATCATCGACAACGAAGCACTTAAATTCTTGATTGAAAAAACAAAGGTCGAAGGTGAACCAATCACAGAAAAGCAAAAAACAGAAGGGAAAGAAGAAGAAGTGATTGTATGGAAGTATCCTGATGGGAAAATACCGGAATTGGATGATCTTCATGAAAGACACGGAGTGGTATTCAACTTCTCCCGCGATGGAGCAGATCTCATGCCAGCAGAGAAGAGAGTGGATTATAGAAACAATAAAAAAGGAGGCTAAACTTAAACATGTTGGGGAGGCCTTTTCTCTGCAGATTTTGGGTCGTAACAACATCATGGTGCTCTTCAACAATGAAGATCACGGACGGATCGCAACAGAAATGCAGTCCAGGAACTGTAACGGATCGATCTGTACGATAACCAAATGGAAAAAAACTGACTGCTCAGAGGCTAAATCCAACCTTCGCGGTATCTTACAAACAAACACTGATGAAAGAGAACTTTTGGGTTCAGTTCGACAACATCCAACCGGGATTCCATGGTCTGTTGGTGGACAGACTGGAGAGACAGTATCCAGCAAACAAAATCCTCAAGTGGATTCTGCCGACTCCAGACTTTCTAGCACCTCACTGTGGATCCATGATGGCTCTACTAGAAGTCAAGACGGACGACCCCCCTGTTTTCCCACTGACATGGAAATTCCAGATCGAGAGCAGAGTCCTGGAAATTAAAGTCTCCACCAAGACCTCTCCGATCTGCTTCAGATGCAGAGAAYGCGGGCATATGGGAAYGGATCCAAATTGCCCGAAGTTTCCGAAMCAGTCAAAGGAACGGAAACTYCATCCYAGCATGCTCGTGGAAGTTGAGGATGCCCKAGGCACTTGGTTCATCGTAGATTCTAACTACGATGGCTGGGTGTTTGATGACAATTTGGATGACCCAGATTGGGTGTGGCACTACGCTGATCAGGAACCCTCAGTGAAAAAACCCAACATCTTCCCCCCTGCAGATAGCAGATGGCAGAAGAAAGCAACAGGCAAAGTGACAGGGAATCCAACGAAGATAAATACCAACCCTTTGATTGATTCACGTGTGGTTAGAGAGGAAAAAAACAGGGAAGACCTGCTATGGGACTTGGACGCAGTCCGGGAACAGGCAGAGCAGGAATACAGCAAGGAACCAGCAGCATTCCAGGAATTGCTCAGACAGGTGGAACGTGAGGATCAAGAGTGGAGGGCCAAGACGCTAGCAGATAATAAACGCACACTGGACAAAGCAAACTCTCAAAAGATAGCAGAGGGGGGTCTCAAGAAGAGGAAGGCAATGGAAGGAGATGACAAAGATGGGACACAAGAGACCCAGCCAGAATAGGGAAAGGGAATAACAGTTGCTGATGCTCTCGAGGACGGGAACAAAGCAAGCAGCGAAGGGTCGCAGGGAACAGCTGGAGACAGTTCGTCTGAGCCCCAGTCCGAGTCCCAGCGTTCTCTTCACTGGCTCAGGGAATATATCGGGAAGGCCAAGAGGGAGAGAGAGCATGCGTTTGACATCAGAGCAGCCTGTCTTAAGCACATTGAGAGATCCCAGAAAAATGGGAAGAGCGGGACAATTGCTGGTATTGAGAGGTCAAAAAATCAGTACGATGCATTGAAGAAAGAAAAGGCAGAGGAATTTTCGAAAT